AGGTGCATATGGTTCAGTGCTCAGCTACTAATCACAAGGTTGGTAGTTTGAATCCACTCAGAACCACCTTGTAAGAGAATCCTAGTAACAAACCTGCAAAAGATCAATTTTATTCTGATATACATGGGGTTGCCATGAATCGGAATCAACTCAATAGCAACTAATGTTTTTTTAATTGTAAATCTGTTTAACGTTTTAAGGAAGACTACCACTCTTAGAAAGGGCACTCACAAATGTATATGAAAATGCAAATATCCAATGAAAAAATAGACAGAGGCCATGAAAAATAGGAATTAGCTGAGAAGAAGCCCACATCGAACCATCTAGCCCTTCCCACATAACTGAGCTCTGATGGGAATTGACTCAGCCTGAGAACTAGTGGGAGGACCTTCCCCGGGGCTGGGCTGGTGCTCCATGCCCTGGGTTGAGGTGAGACTTTTGTACCAGATACGTGTTTGAGAATGTTGGTAAGAAGCGAATCCTCACCATCAACAAGTGCACGCTGGCGGATGATGCTGCTTACGAGGTCGCCGTCAAAGACGAGAAGTGTTTCACGGAGCTCTTCGTCAGAGGTGAGACCAGAATTTGCACCTGAACTTGGAGAGCAGAACTCTGGGGTGGGGGGAGTCCTAAAACTACTGACTTCCTGTACTCACCTGTGCCTCATAGAACCTCCGATCCTGATCATTACACCCCTTGAGGACCAGCAGGTGTTTGTGGGTGACCGTGTGGAAATGGCGGTGGAGGTGTCAGAAGAAGGTGCTCAAGTCATGTGGTAAGTGACTATTGGACTCCAATGTCCTCCTTAGCTTCTTTGAACCTGCTCTGATCTTCATGGGCCACCCTGGGACCTGTCTCAGAGACTTCTGCCCTTCACTGGGTAGTTACCAGGAGACCTCAGCCTTTTTCTATAAATCCCAACCTTTACCCATTACCTCTTTCTAGAACTTCTGGTGTCTACCCATCTCTATGATCTATGACTCCTCTTTGAGGTCCTTTTCTGATTTCTACTGTTTCACTGATTCATTAAATCACTTATTCATCTACTATTCACTTACTTATCCCTTTGTTTAATCAATCATCCATCCTTTGGCCCATCCAGCCGTGCATATATCTTCTCATGTGTCCACTTATGAATCTATGCAGTCATTCATTTACCCATTCATTCATACACACATATATCCACCCAGACATCCATCCATCCATCCATCCATCCATCTATCCATCTGTCTTAGTTCTCTCATAGCAGAAATACGATAAGGGAATGGTTTTACAAACAGACTTTACCTCTCTCACAGGTTGTTGTTGTTATTGTTATGTGCCGTCGAGTCGGCCCTGACT